GGTTGATGGTTCGAACCCACCAGCCACTTCATGGGAGAAAAGACCTGGTGATGTGCTCCCATCTAAAATTACAGCCAGGAAGACCCCATGGAGGAGTTCTACTCTGTCCATTCAGGTCACTATGAGTTGGAATCGATGGCATACAACAACAGTAGTTATTGATGTTGCAACATTAATAATGGCACCCATGTATCAAGTGTTCACTGTGGGACCAGACTGTCTAATTTAATATGCATCCCAGCCCCACAGGTATTATCCTCATTTTACAGATGTGGAAACTGAGACTCACAGAGAGGGGGTTAGTTGCTCCGGGTCACACAATGTATGTCTGGCAGGGCCAGGGTTGGGCTCAGGCTGTCTGACTCCAGGGCCTAGGCCTGTGTCTGCTACAAGGATCCCTGTCCAGAAAGTCCCACCTCCCCAGTGATGCTGGCCCTTCTGTGAGCTGTACCCTGTAACTCCCCCAGTGCTCTGAGCTCCTCACTGAGCCCTCTGGGACGGCATGGAATATGCCTAGTCCCCCTTCCACATGAGAGTTACCTGAACTGGAAACGTCAATTTTGCTGACAGGGAGGAGGTAGGGAGTGGCTGATGGACTCTCTCCCTCGCATGGCCAAACAGGTCCCGGCCGACCAGTACCGGAGCTTGGCTGAGAGTGCCCTCCTGGAGCCTCAAGTGAGAAGATACATCATCTACAACTCCAGGCCTATGAGACTGGCCTTTGCTGTGGTAAGGAGGGAGAGTGGCCCGCACAGTGACCTCTGCCCTGGCCCCCGTGGCATGATTGAATTCAGCAGGGTGTCCTGGAGCCTGTTGGGATGGGTCTGGGGTTGGGGGCTAGTAGTACCACATGGACCTGGCTTTGATTAAAGAGGAAATTTGTGGGAGAGCGTTGTAACCAGGTCCCCACATAAAGGGTATGAAGCAGGATTCACGGTTGGGTGTGCTTGGTATGGCATTCTGGAGATCCTCCACCTCTGGGTACAATGTCCTGTCTTGACTAAGGCTTTTCTGCCCTCCAGGAGTTGGTTTACCCTCCTGTTCCATAGACAGGTCTCTTTCAGGTCCGATCATATAAATGTGTGTGTGTAATGAAAGCACACACACATACATATATGGCAGAGCCAGGGTTTGAACCCAGGAAGTCTGTCTTCAGCCTCTGTGCTCTCAATCACTATGATTTGCTGGTGCTTTGTATGTAAAAATGGTCAAACAGCCCACCTGACTCCCATGTCCCACTTCTAGGGAGAAGGGGATGATGGGATGGGAGGTAGCAATTATTAATTCTCTTAATAAGTGCTAGACTGTTGCATATACTCCCTTATTAACTTTATAACAGTCCTTTGAAGTAGGTATTATTATCCCCATTACACAGATGAGGAAACTGAGGCTTAGAGAGGTGGTGTACTTTGTCCAAAGCCACATAGGTAATGAAGGATCAGTGTGCATTTTGGACTTCCTTTGATCTATGAAGGCCCTGCCCTTCCCACTGCAGGCTCATGTTTTATTTAAAATGAGGGGAAACAGGATTAGGAGTAGTTAGAATAGCTGCATTCCTCTGCTTTACTTATAAGCAAGGAACATTCGCACATACCCAGGTGACTGCTCTGTATTATTACTGGGCTTGTGACCTGGCTCAATCCAAGGAGGGTGCCAGAAGTGTCTAAAGAGTGTCTCTTTGAATGGAGCTGCTGCTTTCAAGGACTGGTGCTCCTGACCACAGTCTTTCCCTGGCCTCTTGCAGGTTTTCTATGTGGTGGTGTGGGCCAATATCTACTCTACCAGCCAGATGTTTGCTCTGGGGAACCACTGGGTGGGCGTGCTGCTCGTGACTCTGGCTGCGGTGACTCTGACCCTGACTCTCGTGCTGATCTTCGAGAGACACCAGAGGAAGGTGAGACGTCCAGGAGACCCCGCCAAGCTCCCCCCAGAAGGCCTGTGCCGGCATGAAAATCCCAAGTCCGGTTTTTCTCTTGTATCTTCCTCCAACCACAAAAATTCACCCTGGCCCATGTGCCCAGTGACTAAAAGTAATCAAATTATATGCATGATTAAATCCTCTCTGGCTTTCCTGTCTAATCCCTGGGGTTTGTTTTTCTGGAAGCAGGCTGTGTTTTGAGAGAAAGTCTGGGAGGAGGGAGGAAAGCACTGATAGCCAGTATTGCTCTGGTACTTTCTGTTACAGAACCCTCTGGATGCTAAGGATTGCATCCCAGTGTGGGAGGGAGGATTACTGAGCTTGTTTGCAGGGTACCTGATGTTGGGGGCTGGGGAGAGGGGTTCTATGTTATTCCCTCTGCAATGGGTGGATGCTGACCTGTCCTCTATGGACAGACATGTCTCATTTAACCTCAACAACAATCTTTTAGGCAGGGAGTGGGTGTTTGGAGAATTTAGGTAACTTGTCCTGGATCCCATTGTGAGTGGCAGAGCTGGAGTTGAAAGCCTGAGCTCTCTGATTCCCGATCACATTCAGAAGGGAAACTGCTACCTCCCAGCTTAACGTGTGGTTCCTTCTTCAGTGTCTGAATGTCTGTCTTTTATTACTTATTGAGCACTTCATTTGTTAAATTACCTCTTTAAATCCCTTAACAACTTTTGGGGTAGAGGTTGTTACACTCATTTTATAGACCAGGAAACTGAGGCTCAGCAGGGCTCAAGGAGTTGCTCAGTCATGCAGCTGATAAATGGCAGGAATGCAAGGCTAGGACTCTCAGAATTCAAGCCATGCTCTTAGGCGGTACCCTGCTGTCATCATTTTCTGTGGCTGCCGTAACATGTCATCACAGACTTAATGGCTTAAAACTATACGAATTGATTATACAACAGTTATGTAATTAGAAGTCTAACCCAAGCCTCACTAGGCTAAAATCAAGGCTTCAGCAGGACTGTGTATCTTCCTGGAACCTCTGGGGGTGCTGATGGTGGGGAGATCCATTTCCTTGGCTTTTCCAGCTTCTAAATCTACTTGCATGCCTTGGCTTTTGGCCCCCTTCCTCCATCTTTAAAGTGTTCATTGGTGGGTCAAGTCCTGCTCACATCTCCTTCTCTGACTCTCACTCTTTCCTGCTTTTAGAGTCTCTAGTGTTTATATTCGGCTACTCGGATAATTCAGGATCCTCTCCCTAATTTGGGGTCAGCTGCTTAGCAACCTTGATGCCCTTTGCCATGTAACAGCATCTTCACTGGTTCTAGGGGTCAGGACTTACACCTCTTTGGGGTGGGGGATATTACCACGTTGTCCTAGTTAGCTAGTGTGGCCACAACAAAAATACCACAAGTGGATGGCTTTAACAAACAGAAATTTACTTTCTCACGGTTTAGGGAGCTAGAGGTCTGAATTCAGAGTGCTGCTTTTTCTCTCTGTCCGCTCTGGAGGAAGGCCCTTGTCTCTTAGCTTCTGCTTCCTGGTTCTCTGGATGCATGCCATGCGTCTTGGCGTGTATCTTACCTGGTCTCCTCTACTCTCGTTGATGCTGTTGCATGTCTCTCAGTAGATTGACCTACAATACCCCCTACACTAACCCCTCCTCGTTGACTTAACCAAGACAGCCCCTTCCCAAATGGAATCATAACCACGGGCATAGAGGTTGGGATTTACAACAGGTCCTTTTGGGGGTCATAATGCAATCCATAGCGCACGTCTACACTGGCTTCCTAGCTGTCTGGGAAGCTCCTCCCCCTCCCCCCCCAGCATCTGGCAACGTGCTGGATTTCGAGATCACTCTGCAAACAGGAGTCCCTGGGTGGCGCAAGCAGTTAAGCGCTTGACTAGCTGGAAAGTTGGAGGTTGAAACTGACCTAGAGGCACCTTGGAAGACAGGTGTGGGGATCATCTCCGGGAAGGTCACAGCCTTAAAACTCTAGAGAGTGGTTCTCTGCACGCACAAGGGGGCCTGACTTGACGTCAAATCAATAGCAACTAAATAACAACAAAAACAAGCAAACACGTCACTCTTGTCTGATTCCTGAGGGGGGAGTGGGAAATCGGAATGTGCTCGGGGTTTGAGGGATGAATGCCGGTTAGTGCCTGTGTTCACAGGGCCAAATAGCAACTTTATGGCTTAATCATTCTGAAAGGATCTTTGTTGGGCTTTGCCACCGGCCTGATAAAATAATGCCGCCCTTGGGCTCTGCTGAAGCTTTGATGGCCCTTGTGCATGGCCTATAAAAAAGAAATTGAGTGGGCAGCTCCTGTTTTAAGAAACTTCTCTTGAGGAGGGGAAAAAAGCAATGTGTTCTGCTTTAGCAACAGCAAGCAAAAACCCTGACACCTGGCAGGTGCTTCACGGATGCGGATGTAATTAACACAGCTCAGGTCATGCCAGGGAACACCTGTTGTGTGCGTCTGCCGCCTCCTCCCTTCCTGCCTCTGTTCAGCTGGGACTTAGGAAGCCCCTGTGAATGCCAGGTAGTATGCTAGGTGTGGGGGCCACAGAGATGAACAAGAGCCATCTCTTCACTTACAGGTGCAGACTGGAGGCCTCAAGTGCCGATCAGTGCTGTCACCTAAGGCACCCCTCCACGATCCTTTGTTCCCTGATAATGGCCACCATTTAGTGAGCACCTACTGTGTACTCTGTGCTTGGGGCCTGACACCAACAACTTTATAATAAAGAGAGGATAGCTGAACCATTGCTAGCTCTGCAACCTGGGTTAAGCTATTACTTAAACTCTCGGAGCCTCGGTTTTCTCATCTGTAAAATGGGACATTAATTGTAGCTCCCTCATAGGGTCATTGTGAGAGTTAAATGACTTAATATGTGCATAGTGCTTATAATAGTGTAAAGTAAATGCTCAATAAGTGTCAACAGTTGCTATTACTGACTGTTTTGCCAGTGGGGAAACTAAAGCTTGGGGTAAGTTAACTGGTCTCTGGTCACAGAGTCCCCATCAGCTCCTTTGGGTCTTAGCTCAAAGGCCTCGTTCTTGCTGGGTCCCTTGTCATATAGGACCATGAAGGCCCCTCCTCACCACTTTGTCACACTATTAGTATCCTACTTGCATCACATAGCATCCCTGGCAGCTTGGAAGCAGGGCCACAGGACTGAGTGTTTGCCTTTGCAGGCCAATACCAACACGGACCTAAGGCTGGCGGCTGCCAATGGAGCTCTCCTGGGACACCGGGTGCTGCTAGGGGTGACAGACACGGTGGAAGGTTGCCAGAGCGTGATCCAGGTACTGTGTCTCTGAATGACCTGTTCTTGAAGGGCTCCTGTTGAGCTGGGCTAATGGGGAGAGGTGGCCCCACGTTTTCCTGGCATTTATCTGCGCAGTGTCTCCAGGAGTCTGCTAACGAGACAGCTGTTGGCAGCCCCTCCCCTCCCTTCCTTCCTGCTTCCTTGCTTCTCTGAGACCCCTCTTTGTGAGCTGACCAGCCATGTAGAACGTCCATGTCGCAAGGCTGGGGGGGAAGCTCAGTTCAGCGTTCATTCAGCAAACAAATGGGACCTCCTCTGGCTTCAGCCCTCGTTTTTTTTTTGGTCTAAGGAGCTCTGGTGGCATAGTGCCTAATGAATATGCATTTGACTGCTAACCAGAAGGTTGGCAGTTCAAACCCATCAGCTACTCTGCAGAAGGAAGTTGGGGCAATCTACTTCTGTCAAGATTTACCTCAGAAACCTAATGGGGGTTGCTATGAGTGAGAATCAACTCAATGCCAGTGAGTTTGGTTTTGGTAGCTTGTCTGTGTGGTAAATATATATGTAACAAAACATTTGACATTTCAACAGCCTTCACTTACAGAGTTCAGACATTAATTGTGTTTATCATGTTCTTCAACCATCAATCACCCTTATTTTTTTCCACATACACCATCACCCTGAACAGAAGTTCAGTGTCCCCTAAGAATTGTGATACCTCTCATGGGTACTGAGGATACTGCAGGGCCCATGACAAAGTCCCTGTCCTGCAGACGCTCACAGGCTTCTGAGGAGGACAGATGCATAGACAGTTTATAGTAGCCTCTGTGGCCTTACAGCAGGGGGAATAGCTCTTGAGAAGGCCAAGTTGAGGAAGATAAGGATGCTTTTGAGGAACTATGAGGAGTTCACAGTAGCTGGAGAGTCCAGAAGGGTGACACATGGAATAGAAATGAGGCTGAAAGATCCATGAACTAATAAGTGTTCTTTTTTTTTTTTTTCTGAATGAGGCTGAAGAGGCAGGGCAAATCCCAAAGGCCTTTTCCACCTGGCTAGGTAGTTTTCTTTGCCCTAAAGGCAATGAGGAGATCTTAACTGACTAGTGTGCAGTCACAGTGGTCTGGGACACAGCTGGGGCTAGATGAGCCCCAGTCTCCTGTTCCTGGCTTTGCTTTCCCCACTGCATCGCTATGCCAGGACTGCCCACTGGGGCTCTGCAGTCTCCCCACACCACATCTGCATGGTCACTGGTCATTATCCTTACGCAGTGGGAGAGCAGGGTGAACGTTGGACCTGTGAAGAAGCTCATGCACGTGACTAGGACATTCCACAAATACTCATGGAGAGCCTGGTGTGGACGAGGCACTGTTCTAGACTCTGAGGCTACAACAGAGACCAAGTGCACAGATAGAACCTTGTGTTTATGCAGTTCCTTGCACAGAGAGAGTGTCCTTTGTGTATGACATCAGGAGGTGAACCACAGGGTGTCACAAGATTCCTGGCAATCCAAGTGTGATGTGGTAGTCTGGGAACTCCTTGATGTCTGGGGGTCCTTTTCAGCCTCCTTTATGTCTGAGTCCTCTGTGGATTGGCACATAGGAGTGACTTGGCTAGCTAGTCAAATGCATGGATGAGTGGATACTTGGACACATCTTTTAAAACAATTGGGTTCTTCCACTCCTGTGGCTCCCAGCTGAAGAGAAGACAGGTGTATGAGCTGAACATTTATATTAGGTAGATACACTCCTTGGAGAGATCAAGCATGGGAGAATAGAAGGGCCTTTTATGCAGGGAGACAGCTTGGGGGGCAGGAGTGCATGGAGGGAAGGACACAGGAAAGAGGTAACTGGGGAGGAAGTGGGAGGGGAGCTGTTGCATTGTGAGAAATTATAATCAATGTCATGAGACAAAGTATATGTGGGCTGCTGTATGGAAAGTGAATTTGCTCCGTAAACTTTCACCCAAATCACAATAATAATAATAAGAAAACTTGGGTTATTTCAGTTTCATGTTACTGTCTTGGGATGAAGTGATACAGTCTAGGATTTGCTTGAAAATCATTGGAGGCGGTTGGCTGGGGGGTAGGGCAGGAGTGGGAGGTGAGTCATGGATGAGGGTAGAGATGAAATAGGAGTGTAGCTCATGAGGTGATACGCGTTGAAGCAGGGTGACAAGGAGTTAATTACTTCATTTGCTCTATTTTTTTGTATGTCTGGAAAAATTCATAATAAAACGTAAAAAAAAAATTCATTTCAAAAATAATCTCTTGGAGGTGAGATGGTGGAAGAGATGCTAGTTGGCAAGAGGGATGCGACCTTGGGTCTTGGATCAGTCCTTGGGAGGAGGGAGGTCAGGGGTCTGGAGGAGGTGAGTAGACAGAAGTGAGAGATCTGGGCCCTCAGTTTCTTTCGCAGCTTTGTTGTATTTATGGCGGCCGAGGCTCCAACAAGGTACTGTAATGTGTGAGTGTGGAGGATTTCAGCCTCGTTCAGTTTGACCTGGCCTTTTGGGATCAGCTGAGGTTGAGGTGGAAGTAGAGGATGAGGATGAGACCTTCTTTAATGCCTCTTCCCCAGCCCCCCAGTGCACCCATGTCTGTTACCTCTGACCTGGCCCTGGGCAGTGAGGGTGACAGCGTGGGAGGGTTTCACTCAATTGCATGTTTGTGTTCCAGCCACTGAAGGTTAAAGTGATTCCCCAGCATGGATTCATGGTGTCCAGGAAGGGTTGAGAGTCTGTCTGGGAGGCTTACTGACTTGTGGGAGATGTGAGGCCGCCCATAGCTATTTTTAACAGGACATGCCATTTTTCAAATCTGAATACCAAGCCATTTGTCTGTCAGTACTATGAATGAGACTTAGTTATTGTGTTGTACTCTGTGAAGGACCGAATGCTATGTTCCTGCCAGAAAGCAAGATGAAATGGGAGTTCCTCAGAAGGAGGGCCTCCTAACTTCAGATTGATACTTGGGAAAGCCCATTACATTAGTCCACCCTTAAGGATGTTATGCATTTCCTGTAATTCCAACTGCTTGGCCAGTGATCTTTACGTTAGGGGCCAAATGTGTTAGCAGGAGCATGCACTAAATCCAGTTTTTATAAGCAAACCAGATGAGGGTGGGCCTCAGAGCTGGCTCTGAGCCTTGGCCTCATGACTTCTCCTCCTCCTCCCAGCTCTGGTTTGTCTACTTCGACTTGGAGAACTGCGTGCAGTTTTTGTCTGACCATGTTCAAGAAATGAAGACTAGCCAAGAGGTAAGATATCTTAAGTAAAAAACCAAAACAAACAAACAAAAAATCCCAAGCACCAACACCCAGGAGGCCAAATTGTATAAATCCTATTACCACAGTGTTGGAAAAATATTTAAGAAAAAGTTACTTGGAAGGAAGAATAACCAGAGAATTATGGCTGTTTTCTCTTTTTTTAGTAATAATATTTTCCACATTTCCTGTACTGAGCATATATTTCTTCATAAGCAGTAATAGTTTAAAAGTCCTGGCAGAGGGCAGTAACATGTATGGAGATGATTGTTACTTACTCAAAGTGCCTCCTTTCCCTGATTTTATAGATGAGGGAATTGAGGCTGTGGGAAGTCCTGGGCTCGAGGAGCTGGTTGATGATGTCTGAGTTTGGAGCCCAGCTCTCCTGTCTCCTCGGCTCCTTCCCCGGAATTAGCCTTTCTCTGGGTCCTGGAAGCACTGTCGTCAGGCCTTGTAGTCAGGACTGTGGCTTAGCCCTGGCTCTGGCATTTTAGTTCCTGTGTGGGCTTGGGCAAGACCTCTGAACCTTAGTTTGTCCCTCTCCAACAGATGGCTAAAGATATCCATATTCTAGGCTGCTTTGAGGAGCAAATGAAAGCATGGGATGGAAGGTGCTTTAGAAACGGTGACAGGTCGCGCTACTGTAGGGAATTACGTGAGCTTACCACCTTGGGTCAGTTCTAGATGCTCCTGCGTCAGCACCTGACCCTGGAGATGGATGTGTCTTCTGCTGAGAGTGACTTGGCCTCCTGGACGATACCCAATTCAGGACACAATTCAAGGCTCCTCTCTGGTTCCTTTGCAGTCCTTGCTGAGAAGCCGATTGAGTCAGTTATGCGTTGTCATGGAGACTGGGGTGAGCCCCAGGACGGCAGAGGGGCCCGAGCACTTGGTAGAGGAAGCTCCTCTGCTGCCTAGCAGTCCGCATGCCACGGAGAGGCCACTCATGCAGACCGAGCTTCACCAGCTCATTCCTGAGGCTGAGCCAGAGGTAAGGGGCACCGTGGCCACCTGGGGCCGTCCTCCCATGTGAGGTCTTCATTTCTAGATTCCTGTGGACATGGCTTCTCTTGAATTGGTAGAGACCATGTACTTCTCCTAGCTCAGTAGTTTTCAATGCCCTTATCTTTACCTTGCATGTTTTAAAATAGTTTATAGGAATCATTTTGTTTACTTATTTTTTCAATTTTTTTATTATCATAGATATTCTTTTGACAGTTGCACTGGATGGGTAGTTGCATGTTGGTAGATCATAACCTATTTCACCATGAACTTATCTATCCATCTGTTCTCCCATCCATCCATCTGTTTGTCTGTCCATCAGTCATCTGTTCATCCATCCCATAAGCTTTTCATCTATGTCTTGAATTGCAGTTAGATATTTGAATCTTCTGTGTATGTCTGTTGAATTCCAGTTCCTCCAGCCCCAGAGTTCTGTTGAGTTCTGACATCCAAGCTATCTGTTGGGTATGACCAGGTGCTGGTAGACAGAAATCTGATAACATGGTTTGCAACTTGTAGCACCTTTGTCTTGCTATGAGGATAGACCCACTGTGAGGGAGGCACACAGCAAGGAGTGACCTCAGGTCTGGTGTGATTCAGGAGAGCACTTGCATTTTCTTTTCAGTAGAGTGGTTTGGGGATTAGGTCCAAACCAGCCCCTACTTTCCCTTTTGCATTGGTGGGAAGTAGGGGGACTGCAGATAGGACTATTTAAAAGGAAAAATAATAAATTTATCAAGCTCTCCAGCTGAATCCCACTGACTGTTTTTTAAAAGCAGAGGAGATTGGTGAGGTCACGTACTTTATTGTGGCCTGCGTGTCCAGGTTTATGTGAAATAGCCCATTAGAGATAGGTCTTTAAAATTAGTTTTTGAGATGCATCCGATCCTATAGTACTACAATTTCCTGTCGTAAATATTAAGCCTCAGTGTGTGTGCACATGTTTTTAAAGTAGCTGCCCTTACAATTTGGCTAGAAAAAATGGAATCGATGGCTGCGTCTCAGCATGAAAGACAGGGTAATAGTTACAATAGCCCTTTACATTTTCACAGATTTTTATCATTCAGAAAACTCTAGTATGTCCTCTGAGGTTTGGATTATCTTCCCTCCTTCTCTATAAGCAAAATCAGGTTCCCAGAGGCCAGCTGACTTGCCCAAGGTTGTAGGACAAGGGTGAATGTGGCAAAGCCAAGGACAAAGCCCAGGCATATTGATTCCAAGGAGACCATTGTCTTGCTACTTACACTATTGATTGTAAATTGGCAAGAAAACAAATATAAGTTGGTGAGTGGTAGAATATTTGACATTTTTACTATTTTTGAGCACAAAAGACAATTCAATGAAAAGCTAATCCTGTAGAATTAAGGTGGCTTTTCTGCTTTTTTGAATAATGATGATGATGATAATAATACTGATCACATTTCTTGAGTATAGGCAGATTAGCTCCTTTAATTATCACTCCAGTTCAGCGAGGTAGAAGCTATGGTTTCTCCGTTTTTACTGATGAAGAAACAGGCTCAACGAGGTGAAGTACTTGCCATAACTCATAGAGCCGGTTGGTAAGTGGCTGTGCTGCAATTCTCATCTGGCCCTTTTGACCCTAAAGCTTGTTCTTAATTTCTAACTCTGCAGTTATAAATTGCCTTGATGTTGTCCATCTCTGTTTTATTAAATCCTGATTGATACTTGGGGAAAGGCTGTTAGTCTGCTCTTAAGGAATTTATGCACTGTGTCCTGTGATTCCAACCACTTGGCCAGTGATCTTTACTTTAGGGGCCGAATGTGCCAATAAAGATGTGCATTAAATCTAGTTTTTATAAGCAAATTCTTTCCACTTATAAGAGTATGTACTGCCTAAATGAAACCAACAAGGTACCTTCTACACATTACAGAATTTTGCTGTAATGGGAATATTATAGCATGCAACCCTTCTCCCTCCTTCATTTAGTGATTTTCTTCAAGTGAACTACCCTGACCTCATGGACTACAGACTTTTACCCTGTGTGGTAAAGTAGAGAGTCACTGAAAATAAGGGAAACCTCATCAGCCATGGAATGGATTGACACAGTGGCTGCAACAGTGGGCTTAAACATACCAAAGATGCTATACACCGTGCAGGCCCAGGCAGTGTTTCATTGTTATATAAGGTTGCCATGAGTCAGAGACACTTGACTAACAACAATAATAGACATTTGAAGCTGGAGGAAGTGTGTGTCTGCAGTTGACTAGGTATAAATCAATGATTGATTTCTCTAGTGATTTGAGGTAATGTAGCTCTTTGGGCACATTATTATCATCTATGAGCAGTTAAGGTGTCCACTGTGGGATGAGGAAACTGGGGCTATCATAGTGAGTGGGTTACTGAGCTAGGATTCCAGACCTGACCAGTAATCTTCCAGGAACTCCAGGTGCTGGTGTGTTTCTTCCCAGTGAGCCTCACTGCTGGTCCAAGGGGGTGAGGACAGCTTGGTTTTCTTCTAGTGTGTTAGCACCCCTTCCCTTAGGATACATCTGTATGGCCCTCACTGTTTTCCTGCTCCTTTTAGGAAATGGCCCGGCAGCTGGTGGCAGTGTTCGGTGGCTACTACATCCGGCTCCTGGTGACTTCCCAGCTCCCCCAGGCAGCGGGAACACGACACACAGACTCTGAGAGGGCTCCATGCCCCTGCCAGCTTATAGAAGCCCACATCCTAGGCACAGGGTGCTGCCCATTCCTGGCCAGGTGACCCAAGTGTTAACAGGAATATCTGGAAAAGACCGATCCTGTTTGACCTGAGAACTTCTTTTGTTCAAAGACAAAAGTACTCATCTTCTTCCAGGATTGAAGGTGAGAAGTTGGGGAGGCTTTAGGAGCAGAAGATAGTTGACAGTGAGCCCTAAGCGAGGACAGAACCATCTGTGGGCATCTGAAAGGTATTGTGAACGTCAGCAAAGTCGTGTTCATGTCCAGGACTCTGCACAGAAATGGCTTCTCAACATTCCGTGCTGGCCCCCGACCTTTCAGAAGCTGATGGTGCTGAGCTGGTCCCGATTCAAGCTACCTTCTGAGCTTCTTAGAACCGTGGATATGGAAGGCAGGGCCAGTCTGCCAGCCCTTTCTTTGCACAGTGGGTGCTGGGGATGAACATGGCCAGTCTGGGGGCTCTGTTGTCATATCTCAGATGATGTTTCCATCTCCAGCTCCCTCACTCAGGCTGGAGACGGAGGCTCAGCAGGGTACTTCTCTGTAGGGGACGGCTTCAGGCCTCTAAAATTATAAGATTGCTCTTCCCAATCTGAAGAGAAGAAAAATTCAGAGAATTTTGTCCACGTTTAAGGTTTTTCTCCACACTGTTTGATCAGGAACAGTGGCACCTGTGCTGTTGTCTGCTAACACACACGCTTGCAGGAGACAGAAGAAAGAAACAAATGGCTGACGACTGCTAACAGGCATAGTCAGAAGAGACCGATCCTGTTTGAATTGAGAGCTTATTGTGTTGAAACACACACATGCTGTGGTTGTGACTGTGTACTGCAGACTTGGAGCAACACTTGTGTTTGCTGTCAGTAATTGTCCTGGACTGTAATGGAATGAAGTGTAGCCAGTTACTCACAGAATTCCATGAAGAGCTCAGACGCTTCCCATGCTCTGCTCCTGAACAGGTTTGAGAGCCATTGTTCCACAGGCCCAAGTTCAAAAGCCTTGACCTGACATTTATAGATTCTCCAGTGCCCCCAGAGCTGGCCTCCATCTGCCATTCTAGTTTCATCTCCCACCAAACTCCTTTATAAGTTGAAACTCTTTCCTGGACTGACATCCTTCATCCTTTCCACCTGTTGGACTCCTCTGCATGCTTCAAAACCCAGGTTTACTTGCCTGTCATCCAGGAAGTCTTCCAGCACTGCTGTTCTCTGCCTCCTTTAAATTCTCGATGCAGCCACTGCCTGTCCTGCGGTTTTATGTTACTGCTTCTGTTTTTTGTGCACATGCCTGCATTCCTAACTGGACTGTAAGCTCCCCAAGGACGAAGACTGCATCTTATCCTTTTCCTGCATAGCCTGGACCTGCTGAGGAGCAGAGTATCCTGTGAATTGATTGCTTTGTCATCTCCATAGCGGCTTTTGCAAATTGCTGTCTAGACTCGGTTGAATGTTGAGGTTGGCACAGACCTGGGTTCTAGTCCTGATTCTGCCACTTGTTAGCTATGAAACTTCTGGCAAATTGCTTTCTTTTGTTGGCCCTCAGCTTATGCATCCATGTAATGGGATGGTGGGTTAGATGATTCTGAAGGGCCCTTCCAGCACCAAAGTTTTAGGGATTTCCATGTTGTTTAGTACCTTTATGCCTCTACCTGTGTGTTACATGCAGAAATGTTGTATAGCCCCATATGGCTGAGGTGTCCTGAGTTGAATGTGCCTGTGGAGAGAACACTGGCCTAGCTGTCAGGAAACCTGGATTCTTGTCCCAGATCAGCTGCTTCCTAGCTGTGTGATCTTGGCCAGGTCACCTAACCTCTCTGAATGTCACTTCTTTACAGAAATAGATGTGAAAATGAAAGGTAAACGCACAAGGATGTGTGATGTAAGTGATGAGTATGACTTGTCACTTTCTCTGTGCTGGAGAAGAAAGATGATGTACAACAGCCCCTGGAAATGACTGTTGTAGGTATTTATGTTAATAAATGAGAATTTATTCATGGCAACCATCACTGCCTTTCTGATCCAACGTAAGAGGAAATGTTGTCTGTGAATGTGATCTCTATAAGCCCATACTTATAATCTACATAAACCTTGGAAAGTATAATAAAACGGGATAAAAATGCGCTTGTCAAATGACAAACAGCAGCTTTTTCGTGTAAAAATGTGCCTGTTCAATGACAAAACAGCAGCTTTTTCGTTTTAAGGTCTGTTTAAAGAGGCCCTTAGGAGCCCTGGTGGTGCAATAGTTGAGCGCTTGGCTGCCAGCTAAGAAGCTAGCATTTTAAATCCCCCCTCGGCTCTGCAGGAGGAAGACATGACAATCTGCTCCCATAAAGATTATAGCCTAGGAAACCCTGTGGGACAGTTCTACTCTGTCAGGAGGTCACTAAGAGTCAGAATTGACCTGACCGTGCACAACAACCACAAAAGAGCCCTTGACACGTCACTTCCTGTTTTCTGCCATCAGAGGTTCTGATGGGCCTCACCTGGGGGGTGGCATCCGGGTGCCCTGGATGAAACAGCTATGCGTCAGTGTCTTCATTTGTAAGATCCCTGTGATGCGTGCTTTGCCTCCTCTGGGGATCAGATACCATATATGAAATGCTATTTTTTTTAATGGACTTTATTTTTTAGAGCAGTTTTAGGTTAATAGGAAAATCATGCAGAAAGTACAGAGTACCCACATAACACCCCCCTCCCCCCCAGTTTCTCCTATTACTAGCATCTTATATTCCTGTGGTACATTTGGTACAATTGAACCAATGGCAATACATCATTATTAACTGAAGTTTATAGCTTACATTAAACTCAGCTAACTCACTGCCATTGAGTCGAATCTGACTCATAATGAACCCTTCTTGGGTTTCTGAGGCGGTATCTCTACAGAAGTAAATTGCCTGATCTTCCTTTTAAGGAGTGGCTGATGGGTTTGAACCACCAGACTTCTGGTTAGCAGTCAGATGCCTGAGACATTACACCACCAGAGCTCCCTAGCTTACACTAGCGTTCACAGTTTATGTTGTACAGTCACGTGGGTTTTGACAAATGCATAATGTCAACGTGTCCACCATTACAATCTCCTGCAGAATAGTTTCACTGACCCGACTCTCTTGGGTTTTAAAACTCTGTGTTGGTGATAGGGTCATGATGGTGTTGGTGACAGGGCCTTACGAAGTGGCAGTGAATGGAGGAGCTCAGAACTGCTCAGCTCTGGTTTCTGCCACTTTGGAGCAGCGTGGTGTTGGAGAAGTCACTTCCCATTCTTGGGTCTCAGCGTCTCATCTATAGAACGGAGGTAAGAGTACCCATTCTCGTGTGATGCCCTGAGGATTAGGTGAGATCCTGAATGTAAAATGTTTGAATCATAGTCAGAGATCAGTACATTGTTGCTATTTCTCTTCTCTTTTCCTGTGTCTTACAGGCATGGGTGGGTGATCTATTTTTGTTGATGTAATAGGTCATTAACAGTTCATGTTTATTCAGTCTGCATCAGACCTTAGTAACTCCAGCACCATAAGGTACACTGTATGTAAATAAAGATTCTAATTAAGTCGCTCTGAAGTTCAGAACAGGGAGGTGAAGAGCAAGCTGGTGACTTTGGGCTGGATACTCATTCTTTGTGTCTCTGATGCCTCATCTATAAAGAGGGTGGTGACAACAAAGGGGCCCAGGACCAGGCAGTGTTTTGTTCTGTTGTACGTAGGGTCATTATGAGTCAGAGCCAAGTCGATGGCACATAACAACTAGAAGAAATAAGGTGCATGGAAAGCCAGGCCTGGTCCATCGTAGATACGCAATAGATGACAGCAGCTGCTCTGTCCTGTCTCTGTCAAGGAGCTCAAGTATTTAGTTGTGTTTCTCAAAGCCCTATTCTTTCTGATTTTGGTTTACTTGTTCTATCAGTGATGGAGAGAAAAAAATTTTGCAACAATCATTGTAGATTTTGTTTCTCCTTTCACTTCTGACAAGTTTGTTCCTTTATTATGTTAAAAAAAACTTGAGAGATAATTCACATACATAAAATGCATCCTTTTAAAGTATACAATTCAGGACTTTGTGAACCACAGGCTCCATGACCTTGAGACCAGAAAACCTAGATGGTGCCCAGCTATCACTCCCAACTGCTCTGAAAGGCATCACATCAGAAGGTCCTGGATAGAGTGGGAGAAAAATGTGGAACAAAACTCAAAATCATTAAAAGACCACACTTACTGGCTGCGAAGAGACTGATGGAATCCCCAAGACTGATGCCTTTAGTCACCCTTCACTCCTGGAACATAACTCACACCACTCCTCAGCTCAGTTTTCAGCCAAACAATAGACAGGTCTACAAGGTGAACAGTAATACTAGGGAAGTAGCACTCTGTAGAACAGTCAGCCATTCAAGACCGAAAGGGCAGCATTTGCCCAAGGACAAAGTTCAGAAGGAGGGAAGGGTTAGAAGAGAAGGAGGAATGGAAACAAAACACGGGGGAACTGCATGCTTGACATTACATTGAAGGGATTGTAGTCAGTGACGTGAAACAAAGTGTGTGTGAGTTGAAAACTGATTTGCTCTGTAAACGTTCACCTAAATCACAATAAAAAGTTTAAAAAAAATCAGTGATTTTTTAGTACAGTCCCAAGGCTGTGCAACTATCACCACTAATTCCAGAATATCTTCATCACCCAAAGAAGAAATGTTGTGCTTGTTAGCAGTCATTGGCCTTTTTCCCATTTCCCTCGAACCCCTTGCAACCATTGATCTACTTTCTGTCTCTAAGGGTGTTCCCATTTTGTATATTTGATACACATGGAGCCTTATAGGACGTGGCCTTTTGTGACTGACTTCTTCCACTTAGCACAGGGTTTCCAGGGTTCATCCATGTTGTAGCCTGTGTCAGAATTTCATTCCTTTTTATGGATACGTACATTCTATTACATGAATACAACATTTTTTGTCTATATGTTCACTGATGGGTGAACATTTACCTTGTTTCCACTTTTCGCCTTACTGTGAATAGTGCTGCTGTGAACATTCTTTCACAGGTTTTTGTATGAACATGTTTTCAAT